TTTAATAAGTGTAAAGAAAATTTTCAGATATTTTTCTTTCAACTATAATAGGTATTTTGAATTATTTAAAGTTCATTAAAGGTATAGGAATAATACATAATATATTTACATCATAAATTGTGTTGCTAAAGGAAATTTCTACTTATGAGTTCATTAGCAAAAATCATCCATTGTATATTTATGTATTTTTTGAAAATACATATTTTAGTCTAACAAGCAACAATTCAATAGTAAGTTAACAGTGTATACAATTTTTTAGAAATAAATTTATCTGTGTTAGCAGACATAATATATTTATTTTTCTTAAAGCTTCAGCATGAACATTTACTATTTTGCATTTTTAAATATGGGTAAGTATAACTCATATACAATTCTTAAATTAGACAGAAGAAAATTAACAAAATAAATTACTTTTTATAAATAAATTATAAAATTATTAAAATTCAGGTAAAAACAAAAATATGAAAAATAATAAATGAATGCAATTTATCAAGTATGTTTTGGACGATTACAATATTATTAGAACATGATGAATTAGAATGAATGAGGAGACATATTTTTATTTCACATAATGGCGTATAGCTTAGGTATTACACATTAACATTTTATGCCACGGTTATTCAAACTTTTTAATCCCATGTCTCCATTGAATCTTCAAAGTATTTTGACGGTTCCCAAATTATTACATGGACTTCACCCCCGTAGTGTTATCTCTGTCTTTCAAACGTGCAACATAGTCAATTCGCAATCAATATTAAACCAATTTTATATTGTTAGCTTTAATATAAAAGTAAACTGATAACAGATATACATTATAGTAATACTTTAAACTTAAATAGAAGAACATTATTTTTCTTAACATTTAGGTTTTTAACTACAATTAATTCATAAGTGAGTTACGAATATATAAAATATTACGATTTAAAAACACTTATAACTTGTTTGTAAATTAAAATATTGTAAAAATTTACATGAAGATACAGATAATATTCTCCCTTTAAAATTGATAATTTATCAATTTATAATATAACTAAAATATAATAACAAGTATAACATATATTTTAATATAATATAACTCACATCTGTTTTAACTTATAAGCATACATTTTCGAATAATATATTTATAGTCTCGACATTTTAAGGATGAAAATAATTTATTACTCTATTCATATTAATTTTATTATAATGTTCAGTTTTACACTACAAGAAAATTGTTTATATACCTATAATTATTTAATATTTACATGAAATTTTCGGACGGTTGAATATAAAATGATTTTTATTAAACTCTTCTGTATACTGAAAAATAATCATAAATCTGTAACAAATTTTGAGAAAATCATAATCGATACTTAAAATTATCAAGATAAAATGAAGTTTTAATTATAATAACCGATGTTGAATTGTGATGTAAATGATATTATAATAGATTTAAATAAATAGTACCTTATAATCAGGGGCGTATTTATGAGGGGCGAGGGGGCCCGGGCCCCCTCCGAAATGAAAAACACCATTGTTAAAGATTATTATTTTTAACATAGATATGTCTTAATGCTGGGGGTTTACGAAAATTTGTCGCGACACTGAGAATGTTGCTTATGCGATAATTTAAAATTTTATATTTATAAAATATGTTTATTCTTTTAAAAAAATATGTGGTGAATTTTGAGTGACTCTAATAAAAAATTTGTTTATTACAATGTAGTTTTTAAACTTTTAAAAAATAATAAATCATTAAAAAAATTGAGTTTCTTATTTTTCTGATGGTGTAAAGACTGTCGAGAAGTCTTATAGTATTAAAGTAATTTTTTTCGTAATAGTGTGCTTCCTTCTTCCTTCCACCCAAAAATCAAATACATAATCGGCCCCCTCCGAAATGAAAACCTATATACACCACTGCTTATAATATATCACAACCTTGCACTAAAGAGTATATGATTCAAACAAAACCTGAATTGAGGGAAGGTGGTTGGACCACAATTTTAAAATATTAAATACAATATAAATAGTATTTACAATGAATAGTAAAAGGAAAAACGGTTTTTTTCTTGATTATTTATTTGAGAGGAACCCTAAATTATCTGCCTAAAGGTAAACTTCAATCGTGCTTTGAATTCAAATATGAAACTATATCAATTAATACCAAATATATATTTTCAATGGTCATAAGAATAATGATCTAAAATATATTATATAGAAGAGAGCTATCTAACATTATTTATAAACGTTTTTCTTGATAAATTTCATAATCACACAATAACTTGTTATGATAACAACATTAGAACTATGAATAATTTCCAAGCACCTTTAAATATGTACTAAATATGCATTTAAACATTTTTAATTTTTTTTTCAAATATCAAAAGAGCAAAATTATTTATCCAATTATTATTTTGTTTTGTTACGCCTATTACTATTTGTATAGATAACTTATATGTTAGACATGAAGTTATAATGCATAAGACATATAAAAAAAATAGGATAAAACATACATTTTTATTCACGCAATAATAACTTACACAACAATATTTAAAAAAGGGTCATAGGTATATTTTTATATTTATTCTTTGAAAATGTAGTCTTAATCGTTAATATTATTATGTAATTCATTCAGAATGACTTAATATTGACTATATTACTAATACTCAGTTTTGAGTAATTAAATTTGATGAAATGTTAAATATATTTACCCAATTTTAATAAAATAAAATAATATAAGATAAATATTTTAGTTATTATTTGTAAAAATTATTCTTTTTATAATATGATTGAAAAAATTTTTATTGGTAAAAAAAATGTATTAAAACTAATATTGGTATAGAATAACAATAAAAATGAAAAATGCAAATAATACAATTCCAGTGACATTTCGGTTCTTCAAGGATAATAATAGAACTTTCATAGGCATAATTAGATTAAAAAAATTTGGGGGGGCTTTAGTCCCTCAAATACATTTTTCAATCATTGTCTCTCAGAAGCTTTTTTTCCACCCTTTACCCTCTATAAAAAATGTGCTTATTGGAAGGCAAGTAAAATTTAAAAATAAATAATAAAACAATAATTCACTTTTAAGTATAGATAACAGATTTAATATAGATTTTTACATTTTATTTTATTTTATTTTATTTTATTTAGCTTTTAGTATTAACTATTGCAGCTCAACAATTATATTATCTACAACGTAATTAAATTAAATTAACAATAAGATATTGTATCATAATATTGAATAGGTATACAGAATAGAAAAAAAAACCATAAATATAATAATATTAATAAGGTTAGTATAAAGATAAGGGCGTATAGATTACATAAATAGGTTGAATGCAATTGTTGGTAATTGGTTGTGATAATTTATGGGGAATTCGTTGTGAGTTTGTTTATTAGGACGGTGAGAAGGGAAAGTAGAGGGTTTAATAAGATTTTTATTTCAATCAGAAATGTAGATATAGTATCAGAAATAGTGTGTGTTGGTTGCTCTGAAGATATGTTGGCATACGTTGGACCCACTTTGGTGTTGTTGCCATGATGACGAGAGTACGAGCTTCTTGCCTTTGAGTATCTGGCATTTTTGTTTTTTTTTTATTTGATAGTACCAATTTCTTGCGAATTGGGCATCCTTTGTATGAGGCTGTGTGATCACTAGAATACAGAGCGCATTTAGCCGGGAGTGACCGGTCTTTGATACAGTTCGCAGTAAGATGGTCCTCACCACATTTGACGCACCTAGGGGAGTGACAACAGTAATTGCGGGTATGATCATATGCTTGACATTTAAAACACTGAGGTGGGTCATTAATTTTAGAGTGTGGTTTTTCGATGACTACAATGGAATGGAGCAATGTTGATATGTTGAAGATAGTGTGGTTATTATTCTTAAGTGCCAATTCGACGTGGAAAAGAGGTAATGGACGTTGATTCTTTCTTATATTCACCACGCGTACCACAGAGTGTCCATGCTCCGCCAGGGCATCGGAGATATCGGATAGAATAGTGGTATGATGTAAATTGCGAATTACAACCTTAAAGTGACGCATGTAATGGGGACGGAAGATATGAAATTCCGCGCTAGTGCTTATTAGATACTTCGAAATGGTGGCGAAGGCAGGGTGACTGTTGGCCCTAATTATTAAATAAGATGGTGTGGATTTACAAGAAAAATCATTAATACCCGTGAGGTGTATTAATTTTTTATGAAACTCAGAAAATTTTCTGATGTTCTTTACGTAAATCGCCGGCATATGAATGGACTTCAGTACGTTTTGACTTGGTGGTAGTTGCTCGCGCTCTGTAGCATTGGAGTTAGACGTAAATACGTCCGATACCAGCTCATCATTGGCCGTTGACAAAACAGCGAATCGAATTGGCGAGGTGAAAGATTTGGTTTTTTTCTCATGCTTGGGAGAGCTGGAGTGCGAAGACAAGTGTCGTTTAGAATTCGTTGCCGGTGATGATTGAAGCAATGCCATACTAATATATGTGAAACGGTTCGCTCCGTTACACACCCATTAAATATGTGTTGCGTAATAACGATCGGACTACTGTCATTAAACGTTGCCAATACGGACTACGGAGCGTGATAAGCACGTGCTCCCGCGATGATGGACGAAACCGTACTGGGCCTAAGAATATTTATGCCAAAATGCTTAGCCAAAATATGTTTATATACAATAATATATACAAACTTTCATCTACAGAATGCACATAGTGAATTTTAAAATTTTTTTCAAATTCTCTTTAAAATTGAATTTTGTAATTTAGGTAGATCAGAGGCATAGGGCGCTTCGGTCCATGAAAAATCACAGGGCGTGCCTGGGCACGCCCTGTACGCACGCCTATGGACATTGTCCGTTGTAATGTTTAACATTAAACGCAAGATTTTCATTTATGCGTTCTTCCAGGAATTGCGCCCGGGGCGTAGGCACCTCCCGCCACCCCCTAGCTACGGCCCTGGATAACAATCAATTGAACTGGACACTAAACAAATAATCTATTATTGTATATCAACTATTATCTTTATCGGCATTCGGTCGATATCTAGCGGGTTATACAGTCGATACAGGTTTATAGCATTATTTATACTTACACGAAAATTATAACGAGATATGAGAGGTAGTTTGCAGGTAGCATATTACTGGAAGTATTAAGTCCTTTTAATATATTTTTTTTTCGATAGGTTGAAATATGTATCGATAGTTTTTAATTTTAAATTTGGAAAATTTGTCAAAATATGCAAAATAAGCATAACAATTTTAAAATATGCACTCTCCTGCAAAATCTATCAAATATGCAAAAATATGCACTTTCAAATTTGAGATCTGATATTATGGCATTGAGAAACGAATTAATTTCGCACTCTGCTATATTTAACAATAATTAAAAAAAGTATGCAAATGCTAGAAGTCCCTAAGCCTAGTGATAGCCAATTGAATCATTTTAAAAAGATTTGGAGAAGTATCTTTAAATATATTTTCTTTGATGGTTAAATAGTTAGGAACTCCTTTTATCACATTTTTCAAAACAGTCATCTCACATTTCAAATCATTAAGGATAACTTCAAACAAATTCTGTAAAGTAAAATACAAATATACAATTTTTGAATGAAATAGGTACTTGAAAACATTAATTATATAAAAAAAAACCTTATATTGATTTATAAGTAATGATGATCCCTTAAAGTCTAATTTTAACAAGTTATCTACACACGTCGCAATTTGAATGCTCTCTTTAGAAAATCTTTCTTTCATTTGACATATTATAATATCTATTACTGGATAAAAAGCATGTATCTTCCAGTATTCTTTTGGTTCTAATGTAGTGGTATTTGTATTATCACTTTCGTGATTATTTTCAGCTGAAGTTGATGACATAACCATATATTTTTTTAGATTAATGGACTCCCTTCTCTGCCTTTTAGAGCCACCTAAGTTAAATATAAAAAAAAGGATATTATCATATTGAATTTTAAATATTTAATTAATTAACAGTATAATATAATGTATTGCCAGTGGAAAAAAATTTACTCTAGGTACCTTGAAAAAGAACATTAATTACAATTCCATTGTCTTTTGAAAATACAAACATTTTTTCCCACAGTTTACTGTAGTGAAGAGAAGAACGATAACTTTGTAATGTATCAATTACTCCTTTTATCAAATTTTCAGAATTTCCAAAAGTTGCTGATTTTAACTGAAGTTGAGTACTTAATATATTAACAACTTTTAGAATATCATGAAGAATGAATAAATAAGCTACAAATTTAAAATTTGATATTGTAGAAACAATACCTAAAATAAAAATCACAATAAAATAATCAGTTTCATTATATGAAACCGTTGGTTATTTAATATTTATCATAACATACCAATTGCTTGGGCAACACATTTACTTTGTTGATCATCAATTTCATTATTTAAAACTTGAGCTATGGCATTAAAATTTATTATCATTGCGTCACAGCTTTTACAGCAGCAAATCCAATGAGTGTCACTTAACTGAGAAAGTGTTGTCTTTTTCATATTCAATTTAAGTTGTAAATCAGTAAGCTTCATGTTTCTTGTTGGATGAGAGAAATGAACATAGAGTGCCTCCAAAGCATTAAATAAATTTCTAGCATCCTTAAACAAATATATATAAATACAAATAAGAATAATAGGTAGATAAAATAATAATTATGAATTTTACTTTTAAGTGCTTACACATATCAATAACTACTAAATTAATCTTATGTGCCATACAATGTACATACACTGCATATTTGGCTGGAGGGTGAACTATTTTCAATTTTGCTTGAACACCTCTTATGTGACCTGACATGACATTTGCTCCATCATATGACTGTCCTATGATCGAAATTTTATCTAATTTAGTTGTATTTAAAAATTCAACTAATTTTAAAACCAAAGCGTATGCAGTTTGCTTTTCTGATACGTCAACAAATCCTAAAAATCGTTCACAGATGTCCATTCCATAGGGATATCTTACACAAATAATTAATTGTTCTTGTTTGTGAGACCTAGTAAGTGTAGAAAACTTATTAAATATACATAAATTATTAAAAATTCAATTTTTACTTCCAAAATTATATTTATTATTTACCTACCTCATCACACGAGATACTGAACATTCCATAATCTATAATTTCTTGTATAGTGGTAGATTTAAAATTTTTAGCACATGTCTCTATCAGTTTTTATTGTATACTCCTACTTGTATGGTTCAATAAGGTATTTTAATACACATTGCAAAACTCTGGATTATGTTTTAATAAAAATTCATACATTTGTTAAAAATTACCTAAAACAAAAAACAAAACAAATTTTAACAATGAAATTCAATTAAATAATTTTAAGGAATATTTTAAATAATATATTAAGTACCCTTATAACTGATGTCTCATATTTACGGTGTCCTCTAAACACTATTCCTTGTCTACCAAGATATAAAACAGTATCAATTAAACATTTAATGTACATTCTATTTGTTTATATTTTTTTTGAAGAGCAGTAGACATCTTTGCTATAACATCACTATTTTCACCGAGTTTTTATAAGCTGATTATCTTAAATTGGCAGTTAAGTGGTAGTCAAAAATTTCATGCAATTTTAATTTTGTTTTTCCTGTTTTTGTACCTCTAGTTCTACTCAACTATATTAATAGAAATAGGTACATATTATTATATAATATATTTTAAAGATAATATTAAACAATTATGATCTATTAATGTAAATCAGTGTATTTAAAATAATTAAGCTTACCTTTTTTCAATTATTAAAACATCTTCTACATGACCAGAACTTGTTGAAAACATTCTGCAAGGAAAGCAAAAAATAGCAATTTTCTCTATGCTATATTCAAGCCAGTTATACTCCTAGAAATATTTGGAACAAAAAGATCTATTTTGTGATCCAAATGCTGTTTTAAGATAAACCTATATGCAATAAATTTATTATTTTACTTTTATTATTAAATATTGAAGAAAAAAAATATTATTTTAAATTCTAATTGGAGTTAAGAAGCTAGTACTCTTACAATTATAAAACTAATATAACTTACCTTTAAAATAGGTTGCACATGGCCAGAATCTAAATTACCTAGATCGACAATATCCAACTTATTTCCTTTTTTAGGACTTAATAATGTCAATTGACTTGTCTTATATTCAACTAAACAATTATTCACATCAGGAGACATAGAAACAAAATTATTAAAAGTTGAAATAGTAGTTTCTGAATGACTAGAGTTATTTTCGCCTTCATTGTTAATTATACAATCTGACTTTTTTTTTTTTAAATTAAATATCGAAAACATTTTTAGTTTACTAACTTTGAATTTAAAAAATAAAAGAAGAAAATTAGGTAATAATGATGGGTAATAACTTTTTAGTTCACAAAATAACAAATGCCAAAATATAATCACAAATCACGATGCACGAATGAACGGAATAAACGAATAATGTAAGTATGTCTGTATTAGGAATGCAATCGTAATTGAAAGGTCAATGCAGTCTAAGAAATAAAAATAACAAATTTGATGGTATATTGTAATGCTTGTCTGCTGAGGACGGTTTGGTCGTTTGGTGTGCTCAATTTTTTAATAGCATCGATACAGATTTTGTACTTTCCGTAAATGAGCTATTTATAAACCTACACATAATAATATGACGTGACTGTATAACAGCTATAGCTTATAGTGATTGTAAATTGCGGCCACTCGCAAAACGACCGAGAATGGAAGCTATATAGCCGGGGATAATATTTTGTTTATTGATAATTATATACTGCGGTGCGCTATAATAAGCATGGTCTAGAAATAATAGACATAATATTTAAGACCATGATCATAATATTGTTACAAAAAAAAGATTAAGAAAAATGTATTTTATTCATTTTTTCAGTAGTAATTACATATTTTTTTTATTTATCAATCTAATAATATAAAGTTTTGTACAGTTTTTTGGAGGGGGGCTTTGAATATTTTTAGGGGGCTTAGTTCCTTCAGCTCCCCACCTAATTGCGCATATGAGAACGATAAAATAAGTAAAAACAGTAGTGAATATTTATTAAGGTTACTGTGAACACAATTTATTCATACATGACTATTCGTTATCATTCACTATTTTTCAACTTAATTTTTTTTTATACATACAAACAGAAAATATTATTTTTCAATATTTGTTCCAAACTGTTAAACTGTTTTTAGATTCGTGATTTTTGTTTAAATACATGGTATCTATGTTATTCATTAAAAGACCCTATTTTATAACACGGCAGGCTGGGTGGTCGTAATTATACTCCTAAGCATGGTTATATATTATTATATTATTTTTTAAAAACTGGTAAATCTAATTTATTGTTTATTTTATTGAAATTACTCGCTATTCTCAAGTCAGCAATGATAATGTATATGAATTAAATACGCACCCATGATTCGTAATATTAATAATCTAATAATATATGACTACTATTGTTTAAATAATATTAAATAATTCTTTAAATATTCCTAGCATTAAAAATAAACTCTGTTGAAAGAAATCAAAAAAGTTGATTTTACATAGTTATAATTTATTATTTAATATATAAATAAACAAACAGTTTTTATATATAAAAATAAATTAATAAATGCTTAGTCTAGAATATTATTCTTGGGAAGAATGACCGATTTGGACTAAAAAAATTTATCAACAGGTAAAAAAGACCAATTTTTCCCAATGTATTTTTTCCTTATTCAATTGTGATTTTATTAAAAAATAAAAATACTTGATTATGAATTTTTAAGTCGAAACCGCTCTTACTTTACAAATATAATACTCTAGGTTAAGCATTTATTTATTTACTTATTTCTATATATATAAACAACTAATAGTATATTTTTATTTAATTTTTTAGCATTTTTATCACTTATTAGTTGTCCCTAACATAATAATTTAAAAAGTTGTAATTGATAGATTTAGGGTGGTTTAAGGATACTATCTAATGCTTAGTCTCAAACAGAAAGTTGATAAATAGCTTCACAAAAAAAACTCTTTAAATGTTATAAAATTATTAAAATAAATTATTTACACGTTCCTTTTGAACCTACAAAATTCAGTTGTATGTAAACTATAAACTGTAGCTATTACTTCTATAATTATTTATTTATTACTATTAATCTATAAGATTTGAAAGAGTGATAACTGATGAGATACTAAATTAACACCGTGTTTGATTTTTTTAACAATATAAGAATTATATTATCAAATTGTTTCGTTAACTTCTTATTCCATGAAAATATTGTTTTCTATATTATGTTATATTGTGTTTTATCACAATTTGCCGAAATTGATAATGATAAGGTTAGGTTCATACATAATTAAATTTTTTACGTTTTAAATAATTTTTGTTTGAACTCTTTTTTTGTTAATATTACCTATAGTTGCTTAGTTTAAAAACTGAATAATCTTAAGGATTAACTATATACATAGTTTTCGTGATGAAAATCACGCAAGTGTTGTACAAACAGAATATTGGTCGCCTTATAAAATGGCAATGGCGTGCCCAGCGTAAGAAGACATTAATTGAAACAAACGCTGAAAAAGTGCTTGCTGCTCGTAACATACCTATTATAGATTCTAAGCAGTTTTTAAAAGAACCTATATTTGAGGCTCAAAAACAAGATATCCAGCAGTTACTTGACAATGTCATTGGACCAGTGAAATTACAACCTAAACTAAATAACGCACATCCATTATGGAATTATGATCCATGTTACGTGTATGGTGATCATAATGTCTTGGTTCGTGGGCTTGATCAAGCTAAAGTTTTTACTAATTCGATTGAACCAGAATCCGGGCTACCAAAATATTTTAAAGATTTGTATGAAGCATACAGATTACCTAATCAAGACGAACATGTTCAAAGAATTATTACAGCATCACTTCTTTACGATGCAGTACAAGAAAAACTACCTATTAAAAAAGATCCTAAAAGACCTGCCTGGAAATTCCCAAGGGACTATGGTATTCCAGATAGTAGACGTAACAATTTAATCGTAAGTCGACTATTGCAATTATGTGAATCGAGTGTCGGTAGTATGAGTTCAAATAAATTGATCGCCAAAGATGTTTATTTTAAAGTACCTCTGCAAAGAAATGGAAATATAAGCCTGAATGTTAGAGCTGATTTATTACTTTTATCTGACTCTTATTTAGCTCCTTATGTTGATGAAATTCAAGGAGAACTGCCAGATATATATCCATTAGATTACAAAGTATCATTAGAAGAAATTAATATTTATCATAAAGATGAATTTATTTCACCTTTAAGTGGAAAATTTAACAATATTCATACAGCGTTTATATATTATAATGAGACAGAGGTTAAGAATTTATATGAAACCCCAGTATTACAATCACAAATATTTGGTCGATCATTGATGAAGAGTTATGCTTTTGCTGTTGCAAATGCCAAATCTAAATATGGTGAAAATGTTAAAGAATTATCTGAACCTATTACTTTGCAATGTGTACATACTAACTCTCAGTGGTTCCATTTTTCTGTTTTCCAACTGAATAGTTTGGCTGGCCCTGAAGAAAATGGAAAGAAGAACATTTATTGGCAAGCACCATTGTTCAATTTGTTTGAAGAATGTGTTTATGAAGATGGTGTACCAATCTTAAAAGATTATAATCAAGAAGTGTTTAAAAATTTGTTGTCTTTTTATATGAATGGTACTGAATATGAACTTAAGTAATTGTATTTGTTTTGTAATTATCTGTCATGCATTAAAATGTCTAGTTTGTTGAAAAAATTAAAATAATATTTTTATGTTTTATTAAAACTAGTTTCATGAATGAATTTAACAATAATATTATATTCTTTATTAAATTATGGATAGCTAAAATTTATAAAGGACATAATTTAAATTATATTTTATTATTGTCAGTAATATGGGTAAAACAATAAAATATTAAGTTTAATTATTGAATGTCTGAAATATCATTCTAATATAGATTACTTTTTAGATAGAGTAGATACCAGATTCGTTTATATAATACACAATATAAATTTAAAATAATTTATTTTTCTAATTAATATACAGAAGAAAATTTATTGAATTACATCTAAATAAATTTTCAATTTTAAACTGGCCATACTTAATAAGTATAATAATACTACAGCTACAGCCCATGTTATTATGAATTTATTAATTTGTTTCTATGTATAAACTATTTGTCTATGTATATTAAAATATATTATTAATAATATGATTGTAAATAATTATGGCATAATTGGAATATTTTTGACCTAAAATATTTTGATATCTTACTAAAATAAAAATTATCCATTCAAGTAAATTAACCCTAATTATTACATTAAGGTATTATTTTTTAGTTTATTTTAAAACAATGATGTTAATGTATTATTATCAGTGGCGTACATTCAATCTTTCTCGGGGGAAGGGGGGGTGTTAACAAAAATAATCGTTATCTTTTTTTTTTTTGTTGCACACATATAACTGTTATAAATCAATGATATTTTTTACCAGTTTACAGTTTACTTTTATACTACAGTAAATTTTTCAAACACCTATGAATATAATTATTTTATTATTATAATATTTGTATAGTTGCATATATTAAGTTCAAAGCGTATTAATGAAACTACGAATATATTACACGTCATCAATAATAAAACAATTTTCTTTTTTTTTGGCCCTGGGGGGAGTTTGAACCCGGACCCCTCCTAACACTAACACTATAGGAAGACCATGGAGCAACATCAAGATATTTCCACTTTTTCAAATTGTTCAGGAGGAACAAAACACTTTTTTAAAAATTTACAAAAAAATATTCAAATACCTTGGCAATAATTATAATTGATTACATGGAAAAATTTCAAAGTGTATTTTTAAATTCTCAAAAAAATAAAGTAATGGCTTGGAGATGTCTGGTTGTTGTACTTTTAAATTATTTTTATTACGTATAAAAGTAAAAATAACTAACATGAATTAATTCTTCTTACCTATAACATTGTAAAAATTATACAATTATATAATTGCTGGGTCGTAGTGAAACAAAATTATTCTGTGGTGGAAGGAAGGGGATTATACACGTTAAAAAAATTAATGAGCAAAAAATAAAAGGATCTTTAAAGATGGAAAATCCAAATTTCTAATTAATTACTGCATATTTTGAGGTGGGATTTTGTCCCCGAAATCCTCTCCCCGACAGTGTCGTAATAAAACAAAAATCTGGAAGGGTGCTATACGTATATAAAAAAAAATGTAATGAGATTAAGTTCATATAATATTATTCCTTAAAAAAGTTGTTATACCGTAATAGAAACTAGATATTTCCATTTGTATAATATCTTAATAAATTAATAAATTTAATGATTGGATTTGTCTGATTGTTGTTACTAATGAACGTAAAATGTTTTATGTAATAATAAAAATTGAAAGCCAAAAAAATGGAGATGTTTGATTGTTGCTCCGCGGTTTTCATATACTGCTCGTATTTCCAGTAGTACTCAATTGACTAGATAGTTAATTGTCTAAACAATATTAGCAATATTTTCTGGCTTTTAGTCCTTTGTTTAATTATTCGAATTAAATAGGAAAACATTATAAAACCGATAGGCCACTCAAGATATAAAATATAAGCAGTAGAAATATTGATGTACTTTCCCACTAAGAAGTTCAATGACGTTAGTGAATCGAAAATGAAACCGAAAAATATACCTAAACATTCATCTTTTTAATTTCAATCCATTTCTAGTTAAATAAAAACGACATTGTGAAATTAATTTTTAAGAGTATTGATTGACGAATTTAACGTGTGTAAAGTGGCAACCTATATTATTATGTTAGTGGTACCATTGATTATATAGTATAGTTCACTCTATAATTCAGAGGTTCCCAATCAGAGTACCGAAGCACCCTAGCTAATGTATTTATAATGAACTGTTTATAGGTTAGGTATTTCACGTCGTCATCGATCTGTGCACAGTGTTATGATTTTACTATGACATTGTGTGGGAACGTACACATTGCACAGCCTATGCACTGATATTATTTTCTGATTCACACTGTCTGTGCACTTATGTCGCACGGTGTTCTCCGTGTTAATTTTCGATATTCGAACAGCTCGAAAACATGGAGCACCAAAAAATATTTAAACGGTCCTCAATATACACGAAATACTGCAAACCTAGTATACTGAACAGAGAATGCTACTCAGGACGGTGCTATGAACTTGAATCAAGAGCGTCGTAAAATAATTTTAATTAAAAAGCAATTATTCATATTTTTTACAGTTTAAAATAAATTATTTTACGAAAGTTTTAGTGTAGGATGTTTAATCGTTTAATGTAATAACACAGAATTAGTCCAATATTAAACCTATTTAGTTGTATATAATTAATGTTGAAAATATTTAATTTTTTATAAACTATATTAATATGTTTGGTTACACTTAACAAATGAAAATCGAAGTTATAAAATATCAATAAAAATACTCGATATACTATTCTAGGGTGCCTACTGATTTTTAGAAAATACTGTAGAGTGTCGTATGTTAAGAATCTATGCTATATATGGTGACCAATGGTGACATCAACAAATTTTATAGTTTTGATTGTTATCATTATCCGTTCTACTGATATTCATACTAGGGTTTCATAAATTTACATGGCAATCATTCTCACATTGTTTCCTACAACACAACGAACCATAACATTTCCGTGGTAAAATAACAAATACCCGTATTGTGTGTTTTCAATACGTACGGACACTACCTACTTTAACATATTTTATAAACCGTTGGTCGAACTTTAATTTCATTTTTTATTTTTGATTTTAGTTTATTTAAAAACTTAAAAAAAAAACATAACATATATTTTACATACTTTTTTATGAATAAATTATAACATGAGGATTTTACATGAGTCAAAATGTTTCTACTTTTTACTTCCTAGTCGTGAGTATACAGGCTACTATTTTTTTCAGAATTTCCTCACAGGAACAGTTATGAGGACACCACACTTGCTATTATCTCCGTCCTACAAACGTGCAACATAACAATCTCCGTTCAGTAGAACCAATTTGTTGTTGTTTTAGTTTTGGTATTAGAGTAAACTGACATATTACCAAACTTGAATGGAAGAACATTATCTGTTCGATGACATTGGTTTTTTTTACGATACATTAATTTTAAAGCGGGTTATGACTGTTATGAGCTTTTTTGAATTGAAATATTTTAAAGATAATTTGTTTAAAAATTAAAATGTTATAAAAACCTAAGTCATTGCGCAGATAATTTTTTTGCCTTTAAGTTTAAAAATAGGTTAGTTTACTTTTATATATTAAAGCTAAATTACAGAAAAATGGGAGTACCTAAAACCCGATTATGGTCCACTACATAATATACCTATATTACCTTTATATATTATTTTTATTATTATTATTATTATTATTATTATTATTATTATTAATTATTATATTAACATATTTTTCTCTTTAATTATTATTTATAAAATTCTGAATCGAGTTAAATCATATTTAAATTTATTCTAAATTTATTTTTAGTTTTAATAACGTTTCTTATATGACTTATATTAAACTTATATACTTTTTATATAATGTGCAAATGTTATCTGAGAATACTCTATATCTTTGTGTAGGGACCTGCAATTTAAATTATGTTTTTAGTTGGTTTTTATTACATAAAAATACATATTTTTATTATCTTCGAATTGATTTTAACTTAATTCGACAGGCGCATATGCAGTACAAATTTTTTTCTTAATCGGCAACCACCTAATTTAACTAATAATTATTTTTTGTCTAATTTTTTAATGAATTTTGGTAACTCAAACAACTTCCTAAGTCCAAAATTCAACAAGTTACAGCAATTTAAAAAACAATAGTAAAATGTGCGGGATTTGCAGTATTTTCATATATAAAACATGTTGCTATGGAGTATGGGATAAACATGTAGGTGTTTTTAATTTTCTTATTTATAATCTTGAAAACTCAGAGAACTTTCAATAGAAAATGGTTATTTAATTATTAAATATATGTACTGTAATCAATACGTTAAAACTATTAAGTTGTACAGTAATTTTCGAAAATACTTATACAAATGAAATGAGAAATAATATAAAAAGGAAATTTAATCTAGTTTATACTTTAGGTAGTTAAAAGTAAAAAATTTATATTAGTTTTTAAAAGACTCTGTAATAACCCTGAAAAAGTAACAGAAAAACAGGAATTTTCACGTATAACCACTTTTCGACTAAATCGATTTTTTGATTTTGCTGTAACTCAAAAGCGAATCATTGTAAAGACTTGAAATTTTAACCAAATGTTTATATTAGCGTTATATTTATGATTAAATTTTCAAAATATTTATAGACCATTGAAATTCTCGATTTTTCTAATTTTTTTTTTCTCGAAATACCGATAAAAAAAATTTGGCTCCTAAAAAAATCCTTAAAATTTAATATAAGATGTTTAATATATACTGCCCCACTATAACTCAACGGATCATAGGGCATTGTATTTTATAACCACTTATTTCTATTTTTAGTATTTGCCGTTTATAATATGTTATCGGGAGTTTTATTGACAATTATTTCTGAAAACTGTTTCTTTTCATTTTAAAATTAATACCATACAGTATAACAAATAACAATCTGGCTAATAATATAATCATTGCTTATAATTTATAAGTAATGATTGTTTTCGTTACATTTAGTTTTGGTAATCCAGTTGCAGTTGTGTGTCGACTATCGAGTTGTTAGTGCGTTAAATATTTACGTAAATAAATATCAAATATAATAAATATTGTGTCCCG